AATCTATCAACAGAATTTCAATTATATTTTGTGACAAGTCATTACAAATATAATCGAAAGTCCGATGATAGATTTTCCCTGGACGAACAAACTGAACACAGAATATATCAATCAGTATATACAACATAGATATACATACAGTATATTTGTCTATATTCTTGCCTTCCTTTAACATAAGCTGTGACAAGTTCTGCAAATTTCTTTCCTTGAAATTGTGCTACTTCTTTCTCCTTCTCGGATATTGCTCCATTATCGGTAATAGTGCTAGCTCCCCAAGGTCCTCCGTTCAATCCTTCATGTGATCCATTACCGAGTGGAACAAAGTTAATACCATGAGACGACAACCAGTTTATTGTCGTGAAAGCTATCATTTCTAAACCGAATTATTTATTGTAAATTTGTTAGGTTAATTGGTTAATTAATTAGGTGAATTAAGTTATTTGAACTTTAATTAACTCTTTATTATGTTCTTATACCTTGACCACTCGGTTGAGTATCCATTGAGAAAAAAATTCCTCCAAATTTATTGTTTAATGACTTTTTACCTAAAAGTTGACTTGATGAATCAAGGAATTTTTTAAATTGAGTTGGGAATTGCCCAAATTTAGCGAGAATTCCAAAAAGAATTCCATCGGCTTCCGCTAATTTTTCTGTAACAATAAATGGAATATTTGGCTTTTGGTGTTCAGTTATTTGTTCATGATCTTTCTCTTGAAAGGTTTCGGGAACTTGATAAATTTCAACCTTCGATCCGTATCCAGCACTTTCCACTCCTTTTTTTACTTCTAAGGCCAATTGATACACGTGAGTGAAGGTAGAATAACAAAAGATCACAGAATTTTTAAATATCGTACTTTAACAAATAGGTCTGTGATAAAAAAAATTTTTTTATTAATTTTAAATAATAATTTTTGCCATTGCGAATGACTTTTTTTTTCATTTCGAGAAGTTCGTCTTTTATACTAAATTTCGAATTGATCTAATTTTGATTCTATAGTACTCCCCAAAATATTTGGGACGACCCAAATTATGTGACAATTAGTGTCACATTGTTTTTGATAATGAGTATAAACCTAGTAAATACCTATGTGATCCTAATTGTCGCATAGCTTGAGTCGTCCCAAATAGTTTGGGCTACATCCCTATATAGGTACGTATTGAATGGCATAAAATCACTTGATTTTAATCAATTCGTACGTAAAGTAAAAACTATTCATAGGGTTTATTATATACATATTAATTTCGTCGCATGATGACATGTTCTTCGATATTAAGACACTATATCAAGGCACGTAAGCATTGCCATTTATACATATCGATTTACATGTTGCGCAATGCATTGTGTCAAATGACTTTCCCGCCTGAGTTAGAATTAGGGCAGGGTAAAAATTACGGTATAATTTAGGCCAATTATTATTAAATCTAGACCAAAATATTATTACGTCATATATAAAATTAAAGGCTTTACTTTGTTCCGGTAACTCCTAAAAGGGGATCGTCTAAAGCCAGGTAGTTTAAAAGTTGATTAATAATAAAGTTGTAAAGCAAAAGTCACGTGAGGCATATACTGGCTTTTTAGACGATCCCCTAAAAGGAAATTTGATCTTTCCGGATCAGCGAACACGGGCGAAAGAAGAAAAAAGCAAACATACTCAAAAATTAGTGTTTATGTTGACCTTGGTACACTAATTAAAAATGTCAGGAACGAAGGTTTACTGTCAACGTCCTAACCCTACATTAGCACGATTAAATTTCCGTTTTTGGGGGACGTCTAAAGCGGAGCAGATTCTTATATATTTTTTTGAATTAACTTTAGGGTTAGGGTCATCTTATATTGGGGTTATGTTAGGTTTTAGGTAGTTATATATAAGCAAAATTGCTTTCCCGACATTTTTAGACTGCCGTTTTTTGTATTTTTCAGGTTTTTCGTTTTTATTTCTTGTTTTGCTTCGCCGGAAAGATCAAATTTCCTTTTAGGGGATCGTC